TGAGTGTCAAACTTGCAGGACAAGTTTTCAGTGACACAGTCGCTTCCGGAATGTTATCCATTTATAGTTCCGGTCGTTTAACTTGACCTTCGCCTAGTTTTTGCAATACGGCGGAATATAAGTATTTTATTTACTAATAAATTTTTTGACATGTTTAATAGTAGCAATTTTTAAGCTATTCTGCTTTTTCGGCAACGACCGAACAAATTCAGTTATTAGATGAGGCTATAAAACTTTTAAAGACAATTAGGGTTAGCGATGACACCGGGGCTGACATTACTTCCTCTTTCAACTACCTTAATGGTTGGATTCTTAATATAAATAGTTTTAAACGATTGTGGCGATTCTTGTCCCACTCAGGCCTCCAACATCTACAGACGAGACGGCTATGTCAAGACAGTCTTGTAAATTATTTTGGACAAATTAGGAGAGGCGGTGGTAGAAGTGTAAGGATAGCACCTTACATGTTCTGCAATTTATTTAGGAAATCGTGGGTATTGCGTTACGTAAATTTAGTAACGAACGGAAACCGCGAACCGATTAACAATAACGAAAGTTTTCCCCCTAATACTTCGTATCAATTAGCAGAAAGTGTGTGTAATGACCGTGTAACGCAGGACTTATTGCGGCAAGAATTTCAAGGACTTCCACGACCTGAACATTCGTTCAACAGGCTAGGGTTAGAAATTAATAATGAGGTAGATGATTCTGAGGTAGGTTTTTTAAAAGAAAATGCATTTGCATACTCTAGCGGCTACTTATATTTAAAAATATTTAAAACACACACTTGCCCCCAACCCTTACCCTACGTAGGAGACGAAATTTCAATAGAATACCTCTTTACACAGGGAAGGCAAGTGGACAGGTATAATTTAATTAAGCCTCCACTGGGATTTGTAAATTATTTGAAAGCAGTAGAAACAATTTTTGTTAGAGATTTTGATTCCACTTATCACAGAATCGGTGTAGGGCAATTGTTGTTCGACAAAATGAAGAATGTTAGCCCATAAAAATGTTGCGATCATAGCAACAGTAATGCTATTCTAGCGTTATATATTTATTACGATACGAATATTTTGCACACCTGAGCATGCAGGGGTGACACCCTGCAGAAATGGCTGATGGGCTAATGCCAAGGCCGCTTCCGTCTTGTTAAAACCATGGCAGGCCTCAGAGTACGTTCCCCTCCTGTCATCATTAAGTTAGTGTGGTAAGTGTTTGTTGAGATGACTCCTTCTTTGCGCTGGTCGGCTCTGAACGCACTGCCTCATAAGGGCGTGCGTCAACTCTCGCCTTGGTTTCGTAACTGAGACAACCTTGGGACCATTTATAGGCGACTACCTTTACAGGAGACGGACAGCGGCTCTGAGTGGGGACCCAATCAAAATGAATTCAAACTACAGAAACAACCAAGGACGAGGGAGGAAGCAGGTCGAAACCGACCTCTTCAAAAGTGGACAGTTCCCTGGGGGGGACATCCCCACCTATGGGGACGAAACCGTCCCCGCTATATAGTGAGGAGAAAAATTCCGGGGGTGTCTGGCTCACCGTCATTAGGGGCGGTAAGGCGGGGGAAGTGGGCAGGAATCTGCCGACTGACACCTTAGGCAGGGCGTAAGTGCGCGGCGAAATCGCCAGCTCTAGCAGAGGAACCGCTGTTAAGTTCATGGAGGGCGCGGGATCCTCAGCGAACGATAAGGATTCCGGGGGAAGCGCGTGACCACAGCTAAAAAGCTGAAGTCGGACCGTCGGCTGGCTGCCAACATTTTGGAGCGTTATGGTGGCAAGCAGGCTGACCAGAAATCTGATCAGCATGCTAGCACACTTGAGTGGGCCAAAAGGGTGCTAAGCGACGCTATTGACGGGAAAGTGGGGCCGAGCGAGCCCCACACCTCGATGAAGCGACAGAGGTCACAGGAGGGGCAAGAAGCCTCGGGTCGGAGCCGCATCGATGCTCAGCGAAATCGCTAAGCTCACCAGCTCAATAGAGCTCGGGGTGTACGACAGCAGCAGGGGAGATAAAGCCATCTCCCATGATGAGTGGAAGTGGGTAGCGGCTGCTATCTCCGCTGTGCTTATGAAGGTGGTCAGGGGAAGCCCTGGACCACCCCCAAGATGTGAAAGTGCCGGTTGGAACCTCGGCTTACAAAAACTTATAAGGTGTGCCGACGAACGGTGGGCATTCCTTTATAAGGAGGCGGTAGCCAGGGTGGGGGAAGTTTGGAAGGAAGCAAGGCTCGAGGCGGTGGCCAAATCAAATCTTCCGATGCGACCTCGTGCTCGTGTCTGGCTTCCGGCCGAACCCTCTACCCCGACCGAAATTGAAGAGATATTGCGGTACTGCAATCCATCTTTTCCCACCCAAGACTGGAAGGTGGTTAGGCTGGAGAGGAACGAGGAACCATATCGGCAAGCGCTGATGCTCCTAAACAAGGAGTCCCTCGCTCCTCTCAGCATCGCAAAGGGGGCCATAAGCTATGGCTTCGAGAGGGTCGTCCTTAGGATTCTCCCAACTGAAGCCAGGGCTGATGGCCCGCTGCCTCCAGCTGAGGTGGAAGCGAGTGGGAGAGCGACCCACTCGAAAATGGACATCGACCCCATCCTCTCGGATGTGGTGAGCACGGGGGCGGATCGTCAGGCGATGATGGATCCATCTTCAGTCTCGAGCGCCTGTTTGAGGAGGCTGAAGTCGATAGTACGGATGATGGTGCGGAACTCGCACTGCTGGAGAGGAGTTTAGACGATGAGGATCCTCCATATTAACCTCCAGTACTCAAAAGCGGCCTCCGCCGATCTATTGCTGCGTCTAGGACGGCACGAAGCTGACGTTGTCCTTATCCAGAAACGGTGGCTGAGCAGCAACGGTATCTCTGGTTTAAAGACAAAAAGACACAAGCTCCTGGCGGCAAACAGCACAGGTAGAACCAGAGCCTGCTTGTTGATCAGAAACGAACTTAACGTTTTTCTTTTGTCTAATTTCAGCAACGAAGATGTTGTCACTGCTAGACTGGAGGACAGTGCTGGAGAACTCTGGCTTGTCTCAGCTTACATGCCGCACGACGACGAGGCGGAGCCACCTCCGTACCTGCTGAGAAGGGCTCTGGCAGAGGCCAGGCGCAAAAGAGCCGCAGTCTTAATAGGCTCGGATGCTAATTCAATGCACACCGTCTGGGGGAGCTCGGACATCAACGCAAGAGGTGAGTCACTTTTTGATTTTATTTGTAGTGTAAAAATTATTATATGTAATAGGGGGAACAGCCCTACCTTTGTGACTGCTAGCAGGGCGGAAGTCTTTGACATTACGCTAGCCTCTAGGGAAATTGCTCCCTTGATTTCGGAATGGAGGGTTCTAGACTACCACTCTTTCTCCGATCATAAAAATATTGGTTTCAGCTTGAAAGCCTCACGTCCGGAGCTCAAAACCTATAGAAATTTCAGGAATACCAACTGGGTCCTGTACTGCAGGAAGCTTCGATCAGCTCTTTCAACCGCACTCGAAAGGAAATCGATCCTATCTGCGGATGCGGTCGATGAGCTCGTCGAGATTTTCAGCTCTGTTAGTAGAACTACTCTTGGCAGCTCCTGTCCTCTGAGAACTCAGGAAATCAAAGGGAAACCCCCTTGGTGGACTTCGGAGCTAACGGAGATCAGATCTTCGAGCAGAAGACTTTTCAACAAAGCCCGTAAAAGTGGCTATAGTGATGACTGGGCGTTGTACAAGGCCGGACTGGCCAGTTACAAGTCCGAGTTGAAGAAAGCCAAGAGAGCTATGTGGAGAGCCTTCTGCGGTAGTGTAGAGGGCTGCCATGAGTCCTCACGGCTCGGGCACATTCTCGCTAAAAATGCTACTCAATTGGGGTATCTAAAAAATGCAGATAGCAGTTGGACAACGAGCAGCGAGGAGTCGTTGAAGCTACTCCTGGATGCTCATTTCCCACTTAATCACTCTGCTGAAGAAGTGCCACTGGAGGAGCTGCAGGAGGGCTGTACAGCCTTCCTGGACCTTCTGGACGATCGTCACCTTACCTGGGCGTTGAAATCCTTCAAACACTTTAAGTCCCCGGGGCCCAATGGCATTATTCCAGCGCAACTACAACGTACGGTTAAGATGTCATGCAGCTGGCTGGCCCCCATCGACGCGAGCTGTGTTAGACTGGGCCATGTCCCGAAGGTCTGGAGACAGGTTAAGGTTACTTTTATTCCGAAGGCCGGCAAAAGCTCTCACGTCGGTGCAAAGATTTCATACCCATCAGCCTTTCCTCGTTTCTGTTGAAAACATTGGAGAAGCTTATGGATCTGTACATTAGGAACAGAATACCGCGGAGTGGGGTGGTGCCAAGACAACCAGAAAAGTGAATAAAGGAACTCTGGAGGGGGAAAAATTCCTGAATACCGTCTACGAGCTCACCGAGTGGTACCTGAACGTGGTATTTAGCTGGGCGAATAGAAGAGGCCTAGCCATGAACCCAAAGAAAACCGAAATGGTTTTATTTACTAGGAGGTATATTATCCCAAATGTGCCTCTCCCCTCCTTCGGGGGTTCACTTCTTCACCTCCTTCGGGGGTCGCCTTATACTGCTGCAAAGAGGCTATAGGGAAAAGGTGGGGACTCTCACCTAAGGTGGTGTTCTGGATCTACGAAACCGTAGTTAAGCCAATAATGTTCTATGGTGTGTTCGTCTGGTGGAGGGCGCTCGAAAGGTCCACACTGGCTAAAAAGCTTGAGCGGGTTCAAAGTGCGGCGCTCGTCGGAATCTCCGGTGCACTGCGGACCATACCTACAATAGCTCTTAATGCTATTTTAAACATAGCACCTGTGGACATTGCCGGTAGGTGCATTGCTGCAAAGTGTGCACAGGGAAGCTGGGCTTATGAAGAGCTCCGAACAAGGACACTCCGAAATTTTTTCCTACTTCAGCTGCATTCCGGAAAATTTAGATCACTGCGTCATTGAGGCCACTCGAGGCGGCTAGTTCTCCGCTCATATTCCAACGAGGGACATGTGGATGGTAAGAAGCCGCTGGACAAGAGGCGCGGTGAGCTTTGTCACGGATGGATCGAGGCTAGGAGGGAAGGTTGGAGGGGGGGTTTTCTGCAAGGAGCTCTCCGTCAATCTTAGCTTCAGGCTACCGGATCACTGTAGGGTTTTTCAGGCGGAAGTGGCTGCTATCAAGGTGGCGGTAGAAGTACTGCTGCGTAGTGCTCCTCGTTTGTAGAAGTGAGCATCCACTAGCTTTGACGCCCGAACCGTGCAATAAAAGCTAGTCAAGGAGTGTCTGTCCTCACTAGAGATAGCATCTGGCTATTTCAACATCAGGCTCGTTTGGATGCCTGGTCACAGCGGAATCGCTGGAAATTGCAAAGCCGATGAGCTAGCCAGAGGGGGCACCCTTGCCCCGCTCACATCGGAATGGGATCGAGTTGGATCTCCGTTAACGTCTTGCGTTCTAGCTTCGGATCAATGGACCTCGCGTGCACTCAGCAGACGCTGGTCGACGATCAACTCCTGTGCGACGGCGAGATCCTTCTAGCCAAGAGTGGAGCGCAGGAGCTCGGGGGAACTTCTCGCGCTGAGCAAAGTGCATCTCGCCGCTATGGTAGGAGTTCTTACTGGACACTGCCTAATGTCCGGCTTTCGCTAGGCTGAGATTGAAATACCTCGCCAATCACACTTTTGGCGGACCTGAATACTTAGCCGAAATGGATATTGGCCGTCTTAACAAGTTTGTTGTAAGCACAAAGCGTTTCGTCGACTTGTAAGGGTCTTTTGATCCAGATTATAGGAGTTTTGTAGGTATCACAACGGACCGGCGACTTAAGCTGTCCAAGTGGGATCCTTCTTGGGATCGACCTCCTAACCTAACCTAACTTAGATATCCTATATGGCGTCTAATTATATGTACATGTATATCTTAATCACAAAAGATTTTCAAAATTAACGTTTAAAACTAAATTTAACAAAATATTTTAGTATTTCAAAACACTTACAAGTTTTAAATAACCTAAACATGAACCTTATTTCTTTTTTATACACTCTATAAATAAATATCTTTTGATAATTTATTCGAAAGTCAAAGTTTACATAACATTTGCGGAGAATTCTAACTAAAATATGCATATACATTAACAATTGGTACTGCTAAGCAAAACAATACTCTTCAACAAAATACCCGCTCTTACTTAATAACAAAACTATATCTAAATCTGTCTAAATAAAGATTAGAAATATACGTAAACGTCACCAGAAAATCTAATTTTACAAATTACCCACTGATTTCGCAATTTATTTCTGCGGGATTCTTAGTGGTAGTTCATTGTTTTGCTTGTCATCTGTTCAGTAGCTCATGAACTCGTGGTTTTCTTTGGCAGCACTGAAAGTTCATGAACTCTCTCAGAAGGCAAAGAGAGGAGTTTCGAAACATTTTATCAACGCTTGGCACGGTGCAATGCTGATACACTACAGAAAAACTGTGAACGTTGTTTATAAAATAGCGGCCCGCTCCGGCTTCGCACGGGTATAAAATATATATCACTGAAAAAATGATTAAAATTGATCCAGTAGTTTTGATTTATTCATTACTACAATTCTCCTTTTCCTATATCATGAAGATTTCCTGTTATCTTTGAAATATCTCAATTCATACACCACATTTTTATACTCTCGCAAACTGTTGCTACAGAGTATAATAGTTTTGTTCACCTAACGGTTGTTTGTATCACCTAAAACTAATCAAGTTAGATATAGGGTTATATATATATAAATGATCAGGATGAAGAGACGAGTTGAAATTCGGCTGACTGTCTGTCCGTGCAAGCTCTAACTTGAGTAAAAATTGAGATATCTTTATGAAACTTGGTAGACATGTTTCTTTGTACCGTGAGACGATTGGTATTGTAGATGGGCGTAATCGAACCACTGCCACGCCCACAAAACGCCATTAATCAAAAACAAATAAATGGCCATAACTAAGCTCCGCAATAAGATACAAGACTGTTATTTGGTATACAGGATCACATTAGGGAGGGGCATCTGCAGTTAAAATGTTTTTTAAAAAGTGGGCGTGGTCCCGATCCTAATAAGTTTAATGTGCATATCAAATGCTTTTAGAACCTCTACCTACAGTGTGAAAATAGTTGAAATCTGGTGGCAACTCCGCCCACTCCTCATATAACGGTACTGTTAAAAACTACTAAAAGCGCGATAAATCAAGCACTAAACACGCCAGAGACATTAAATTTTACATCTGGGATGGGATAAGATGACTTTATAGGAACCGAGTTCAAAATTAGTCAGAGGGCGTGGCACCGCCCACTTTTAGGTGAAAACCCACATCTTGGGATCTGCTTAACCGATTTCAACCAAATTCGGTATACTACATTATTTTCATATTTCTATTATAAAGTGCGAAAATGGGCGAAATCGGACTACAACCACGCCTATTTCCCATATAACACCATTTTCAATTCCATCTGATTCTTTCACTTTCCAGTATGCAAATCAAGCAAGAATGATTATATCGGGCTAAAACTTTGCGTGAATAATACGTTTAAAGTATGCCACCTTGTGACCAAAAATTGTCTAAATCGAACTAAAACTGTTCAAGCCCCTAAGTACTGAATATGTGGACCCCAGTGCCTATAGTTGACCTTCTACCGAAAATATCGGTCAATCCACAAAGAAATCTCAAACGAGTATACCATTCGCTTTGCGGGAGTATAAAATGTTCGGCTACATCCGAACTAAGCACTTCCTTAGTTGTTACTTTTTAAATTTATACCTATTTATTTTATTTATACAACAATTAATATATTACAGAATATCTTTATATATAACGTTCACAGCATTCTTATCATAAGACAGTGCAAACATGTTTTCTTTATTATTGGTCAGTGCGAAAGATGTCTTTACCAGAAACTGTAAACGTTTAAATTAAAAGGGTAAATCCGATGGTTTCAGAGGGATTCGGGGAATCAATACATCTGCTCTGGTTCCACATCCTGTGAGTATTGTGCACTCTGGTATGAAAGTTTTCAGTGATTTTACCAGCAAACGCGTACCATTGTAAAGTTGAGGTTGATTCAGGTTTCTTGATAAAATAACAGGACAATCTACTTTCAACACAATTTTGTGAGGAGGAAGTTCAGACGGGTTCAAAGAGTTTAGAAATTCTGTAGGAAAATGAATAGCTTCTTCCAATAGAGAGAGTAGACAGTATCGACCGAGTAGTATATTTTCGTCGACGCATCAATCTTTGAAATAATCAAGTTATTTACCTTATCTACTTGTTCATAAGTTGGTGACAGAATCAATCTTTCTTTAAAACAAGATATTGTTTTATAACTTATGTCATTAATGTCAGGATAAACATTGTTGACTAACTCTTGGATGTTGTCTATTAAAATACAAAGGTTTTCTAGGTTAATCCTTCCCTCCCTTTGTATTACCTCTCCATTGCCAACTTTTAGCAGCATCTCTGGAAATAGCCTACTAGTTTTAAGCTCTAATTTATTGATATGTTGGTTGGCAAAAATCCCCCACTGAACCCTCCCCGAGGGCGCCGATTGGTAATAGATACCACAGATTCACGACACAACTGGGAACGAGCTGGTAACAGTCCGCCCCTGCCGTAGACGTGCGGAATCTAGCTAAGGTCAGACTTTTTATCTGTGTGTTCGATGTTCCTAAATAGCACAGCATACAGATAAGGAGCCTTACCATGGTCGGAGGTAAAGGGCTGGATCAAGGTGTCATGCGACCCGTGCCGAGGATCAACCTGGCTGGGGGCCCTTAAATATCCCAGTCTCGAACGGATCTTACGGATACCTGGCGCCCTCCGTAATAAGATAGCCTTACTTGCGCAACGGGGGCTATGCGCAAGTGGACATACTTTCCCCCACACTCGTGGGACCAACAATGAACCAAAACGCAAATAAACAAAAACAACAAATAACGAAAACAAAAAATCGGAGAGAGCCCGGATCTCCAGGAAAAAAGCCGGAGGGAGCGAGTTGCTCCCATAAAAGAGCAGCGTTTGGAGCGAGCTCAACAAACACGAAGAGGACAGGAGCGAAGCTTGGTCCAGAAGACAAGGCAAGCACTAGTAAAGGGGCACTAGTAAAGCTAAAGCTGGCCCACAGAAAGTGGTAGCGCCGGAGGCAGCCAGACCCAAACCCTGCGGCCAAAACACGGCTGAGAAGCAGGGGGAGGGAGGAGATGCCAAAGGGGCTGCTCCCGGAAGTGCATCTGCCAGGGAGTGGCCTGCATTTAGCATGCAGGACCCGTCAAAGGCAAAATATGCGGAGAGACGACGCGCCGTATACTTACTAAGGTCGGTAGAGCTAAAACCGCCAACGAAAGAGGAGCTAACGCAGGAGCTCCAAGCATCGATTGACTGCGCGAGAGCAGTCATACCACAGAGGTCAGCTGAAGAGGCAAAGCGTCAGCTAAGAGACCGAAGACCAAGGGTGTAACGCCCGCAAAATCATTTGCAGAAGTGGCTCGTAACCGAATTGTCATTGGCGTTCTGGATGAGGGAGATCCCGAAGGAAGAATCCCCAGAGCCCAATGGAAATGGGTGCAGGCTGCGCTGACAAATGTGGCGCTGAAAGTGCTACTAATCAATCCGGGTCCGCCACCGTCATGCGCAGATGCCGGCTGTTACCAGGGCCAGATCAAAATGATTGCTTGCGATGACGAGAGATCGGTCGCTCTATACAAAGCTGCTATAGCCAAGGTGGGAGAGGTATACCCCGGGGCAAAATTGGTAGCAGTGGACAAGAAGGACATACCATCCAGACCTAGGGCAAGGGTATGGATTCCGGCTACACCATCACAGCCGGACCAAATTATGCAGCTCATAAGAGCCTGCAACCCGAGCCTACCCACGGAAGGGTGGAAGTATGTCGAGACATTTGAGGACAGCGTAGCAGAATCTGGCGTGGAGACCAAAAGGACCACGATGCAGATTCTGCTGTTATTAACGAAAGAATCCATCGAACCGCTGGCGAAAAGTGGTGGGGAGATAAATTACGGGTTCACAAAAGTAAGGATAAAGCCTTACAAGTCGGACGCCGATGCTGCAGACCATCTGGCATCGGGGAAAGAGATATGCGAAGTAGAGGAAGATCCTATGGAGTCCTTGAGCGACGCGAAAAGTATGGAGCAAGGTGAGTGTTCTTCTTCCGGGTCTGAGCTTGCGGCCAGACTCTCAAGCTTGTATACTGAGAAAGAGCTTTTAAGCGACTCTCAGGAAGACGCAGATATAACAATAGTTAATGCGTCTTCTACAAATTAATCTCCATCATAGCAAACTAGCTTCAGCAGCCCTAATTAACCGCGTGGCAATGGATCAGCCTGAATTTGTCCTCATTCAGGAGCCATGGGTTAATGGAGGGCGTATTTGCGGACTGAAGACGCCGAACTATAAGTTGCTGATGGCTAACTGTGAAGGTAAAATCAGAGCCTACATAATTGCAAGGAAAAACCTTAATGTTTTTATATTACATAATTACAGCAACAACGATACAGCAGCAGTAAGCTGGGAAACGGGCTCAAGCAGCTACCGGCTAGTGTCGTGCTATATGCCGTATGAACAGGAGCTGGTGCCACCTCTGATGGTAAAAGAGGTGGTACGGGATAGCGAGGCATCCAAGTGCATGACGATACTTGGATGCGACTCAAATGCGCATCACACAATCTGGGGCAGCACAGATGTAAACGACAGAGGTGAGTGTCTCTTTAATTACCTACTAGGTACTAAGTTACTGGTGTGTAATAAGGGAAGCACGCCAAAATTTATTACAAGAAACCGACAAGAAGTGCTGGATATCACACTTGTGTCGGAAGAACTAATTGACAGGGTAACCCAATTCTCGAAGAACACTCCTTTTCGGATCACCGATATATCAAATGTACAATAGAGGAAAGGGCCGATAGAGGCATTAGCTTTAGGAATCATAGGAGAACGAACTGGCAGGTGCACATGCAAGAGCTAGAGAAACGTATCCCTATGATTCTACCGTGTCAGGCCAATAGCAAGGAGGATCTAGATATCCTCGTTAATCGACTCACGGAATCGTGCCGGCAAGCACTAGAAGTGGCTTGTCCAATAACACGAAGCAGGGGTAGAATAAGGCCCCCCTGGGGGTCTCTAGAACTTAAAAAACTACAGAAAGAATGCAGAAAGCAGTTTAATTTAGCTAAGCAATCCCAAGGCGAGTCAGACTGGGATTATTATTACAACCTCCTTAGGTCATACAAAAAGGAAGTTAGGAGAGCAAAAAGAAAGTCATGGAAATCGTTTTGCAATGACATCGAGAACACGGCGGAAGCGTCTCGACTTAGGAAAATAGTGGCACAATCGGTGCATAATATCAGTTATTTTCAGTAGCCAGACCGAAGTTGGACGGTATCCAGTAAAGAGTCCTTGGGGCTACTAATTGATAGCCACTTCCCAGGCAGCTCTGAAAGCCATACTGCAGAATATACTCAAGACAGTGGGGCAGAAATGAGCCCCACTCTCATAAACATAGTGTCAGAAAGCAACGTTCGCTGTCGCGGGATCAGACGGTATATTCCCGGCTCAATTGCAGCAGTCGCAGAATTACATAATGAATTGGCTAATTACCATTCTTAAGGGGGCGCTGCAATTAAACTATATCCCTTCGCTTTGGAGGGAGGTCATGGTAATATACATACCAAAGGCAGGCAAAAGCTCGCATACAAGTCCAAAGGACTTCAGGTCAATTAACCTCTCCTCATTCCTTCTAAAAACGCTAGAAAGACTAATAGCATTACATATAAGAAACAAACCAGGAAAGTTGGTTGGTTCGCTGCATGCGTATTCTAAAGGAAAATCCACAGAAGCAGCACTAAACTCTGTGGTGGCGGAGATTGAAAAATCTCTGGAAGTCAAAGAATACACTCTATTTGCCTTCTTAGACATAGAAGGAGCCTTCAATAATATCCAGCCTAGGGCCATACTGATTGCGCTTAAGGATCTGGACATCTCTGAACCTCTCAGGAAATTAATTGAACAGATGCTCACGAGCAGGTCAATAATTTCAACGATGGGAGCGTCAACGATGTGCAGATCTGTCCAAAGAGGTACACCTCAAGGAGGCGTGTTATCCCCACTTCTCTGGGTCCTCACAATGAATAAGTTGCTGATGGATATAGAAAAGAAGGGGGTACATGTTGTGGCCTACGCTGACGATGTGGCAGTATCGGTCAGAGGCAAATTCCCGAATACTCTCGCAGACCTTATGCAAACGATATTGGACGATATAAATCGCTGGGCAGTATCGTGCGGATTAAATTTAAATGCTGGTAAGACAGAGCTCGTATTGTTCACCAGAAAACATAATGCTCCAGTAGTTACGGTGCCAGTAATAAATGGTTGCAGACTAACAATTGGAGATAAGGCAAGCTACCTGGGACTAATCTTAGACAGGAAGCTTTCTTGGAAACAAAACTTGGATGCTAGGGTGAAGAAGGCAGCCACAGCACTCTACACCTGTAAAAGGATGGTGGGCCCCAAATGGGGACTTACACCTCGGGTAACTTATTGGCTCTATACAGCAGTTGTCAGACCAATCATGACATACGGTATATTGGTATGGTGGTCAATAATGGAAAAGAAATACGCGGTAAAGCGTATGGAAAGCATACAGAGAGCAGCCAGTATATGCATAAGTGGAGCTCTTAGAACAACGCCAAGCCAGGCTCTTAACGTCATTCTACATTTACTGTCAACAGACCTGTTCTGTAAACAAGTGGCGGCAAAGTCAGCTCTTAGACTGAGGGAATCCTCCCAACTAGTCGCATGCAACAAGGGGCATTCAAGGATACTCAGTATATTCCCGTTCCTACCCAAAACCACGGATTTCCACAATCCAATAGAACGGATGCTAAATTCGGTCCACAATATTGCCCCACAAGAGAGGAGTGGAAAAGGGGCGAGGTGGACAGGAATACAGGAATTAGCATCTACACGGATGGATCCAAACTGGATCATCGAGTGGGAGGTGGTGTCTTTTGCGCAACATTAAACACCAACATCGCCTTCCGTTTGCCAGGCCACTGCAGTGCCTTCCAGGCGAAGATCACAGCAATTAAAGAAAGCCTAGTGGTATTGACAAAAAGTGTGCTCACAACAAGGAGCATATATATATACACGGATAGCCAAGCGGCCTTGAAATCACTCAAGTCTCCAATGGTTTTATCCAAGCTAGTGAAAGATTGTCTTGATCTTTTAGAGGATCTGACATCCTACTTCACAATAAACCTGCAATGGGTTCCAGGACATAGCGATATTCCTGGTAACTGCGAAGCAGATGAACTAGCCAGAACAGGCACCACTTTGCAACTAACCCCTGAAAAAGAGGGTATCTTTATGCCTCTGGCAACTTGCAAACACTTAATCAGCGAACATGCTATAAATATAGCTGAGTCTCGGTGGAGACAATCAATAACCTGCACAACTAGCAGACTAACGTGGCAGGAATGGAGCGTGAGTCGCACAAACCGACTACTAAAATTTAAAAGGAATGATATAAGAACTCTGATAGGAGTACTAACAGGTCACTGCCTAATTGGTAGACATGCAAGTAGGCTAGGTGTACCATACAACGACTATTGTAGAAGCTGTCAAAAAGTAGAGGAAGAGCAGTAATGTAAAGCTCTATATAGGAAAAGAATCGCAACTATCGGTCGTGGATTCCTTGACGACGTATCAGAAGTTGCTAATATAGAATTATTTGTACTGATGAACTTCATCAGGAGCACAGGTTGGTTCAGAGAGGAGACGATAGAGTGAGGGAACATTAGTCCCGGTGGTATCACAATGGGCCTCCTATAGGCCTAGGTGCGTCATTGGACAGCCACTCAACCTACCTACCTACCTAGATATTTTTAGGGAATCATTTATTTCGTCAGCCCATGTTCCTCGAGTCACAACTGGTAGGATTTGACGGAAATCTTCTGAGAACAAATCGTGCATTGTCCTATCCAGTGTTTCCACAGACGTCTTGTTTGACATGGTAGCTTCGTCCCAGACTATTAATGAGCATTCACGCATCAATTTTCCTGTATTGCTCTGTTTAAAAACACTACACATGCTGTTATTATCATCGGTGGCGATTTTAAGCGAAAGCTTGAATGTAGAGTGTGCGGTTCGGCCTCATTTCAAAAGCGTGTTGGCAATGCCGTATGACTCAATAGCAATTTTTCCGGTAGATCTCACTTTTTTTAAAAGCAGATTGATTAAAAATGTTTTTCCTGTACCTCCAGGGGCATCAAGGAAAAGCAATGACCCTTTATTGTTATGAATTGTTGATAGTAATGCAGTGAATACTTTTTTCTGATTGATGTTTAATCGTGGCTTAGCTTGAGCTATATTTTGTAAAAGTGTCGTTTGATCGTATGATGTTTCTCTTGTGTATTCGGCACTGTTAGTTAAATCTGAGTTAGTAGTATTAGCAGCCCAAAATCCTTGATCGATTTACCCGAAAGTAATTGCACTACTTTGTTTAATTCAAATAATCATTCGTCATATATGTATATGTTTTGGTCATATTGTACATCATCTGAGTTTAAACCTCGCCGTCGCCGACTCAGAATATCACTGGCCACATGGCAAATAAATATCTTAATGATGTAGCTGAACTACAAACAGCTGCTTCTGATAATGTGTTTTCCCAGTTAGAATCGTCTTCCACTACGATTTTATTAGGTATGTAGGTAGGTAAAGTGGCTGCCATTCGACACACTTAGGCCTTTAGAAGGCCCATTGTGATACCACTGGGACTGTGATCCCCTCACTCTATTGGCTCCTCTCTGAACCACCCCGTACTTCTGATGAACTTCGTCAGTGAGACAAGTTTTATCCGTGCAACCTCCGAGACGTCGTCAAGAAACCCACGACCGATGGTTGCTATTCTTTTCCTATATAGTGCTGCGCAATCGCATAGAAGATGTCTAATGGTCTCCTCCTCTTCTACTTCCTGACAGCTTCTACAATAGTCGTTATATGGCGTGCCAAGTCTACTTGCATGTCTGCCTATTAGACAGTGGCCTGTTAGTACTCCTACTAGAGTTCTTATATCATTCCTCTTGAATTTTAACAGTCGGCATGTGCGGCTCATATTCCATTCTTGCCACGTTTGCCTGCTAGTTGAGCAGGTCAGGGACTGATTCCACTGACACTCGGCTATATTAATGACATGTTTGTCGATTAAGTATCTACAAGTAGCCAGAGGCATTATTATGTCCTCCTTACCAGGATCTAGTTGTAGG